AACTTAAAGAAGTCCAGACGCTTTTCTTTGCCAGCTCCTTTGACTACGATGACCTGGATGACTGAGAACCTTCACAGACTTTATGCATCAAGCAAACATTAAATTATATGCAACATTCTCTGACTGGAAGAAGTTTGTTTAACATTTAAACCTATTTTCTGCACATTCCAGCACATAAAAGAAAATATTTTTTTGTGTTTACACTCACTCGTTCAAATAGATGCAAGTAAAACACAGCATAAAATCAACGACTAGCGGTCCTGTTGCTCTATTTTCACCTGTAAAGCAGGAGTGGAGTAGGCGGAGGTTTGCCCTGGTGCAGGTGTGCCGCAGCGGTCAGTTGAAGAATCCGCAAGTTTCTCTGTGAGTTTCCCATTACGTCGGAGTGCACTCGGTGCTTGCTTGGAAGTTTAGGGGGTTTTTTTCACTGTAAAAAGAAGTTTTCTTCCCACGCACAGCGGACACTAATGTTTTTGTCACTTTTTATGGAATCAAACTCAAAGTAAGGTCAGTACTTCCACGCTTTAAACGCTGTACGCTCATACTCTCTCCCGCACTCGATTTATTATCCATTGTTGATCTGCACACAGCTGTTGTCACAAACGTCGCACTCGCTTACGTCACTGTCATGAGAAATTCTAGCAAAAAAATCACAATTTTAGTAACACAGTAACGCAGCGTTCCTACGGGAAAGTAATGGTAATCTAATTACCGTTTTTGCAATAGTAATCCCTTACTTTACTCGTTACTTGAAAAAAGTAATCAGTTACATGTTTACAAGTAACGCGTTACTGCCCACATAGGACGTGGCCTTGAGGCTGTAGCGATGCCACACCAGTCCCCGTACAGGCTAACATTTTCTTTCCATTAACAATACAAACATCACAAAACAATACAGGAGTTTCACAAAATGAAACAAACTATAATAGCAGTAAACCTGCTGTAACATAAGTATATTAGACTGTATTGAGCAGAATGACATGTGAATTGCAGAAAAGCCCAAATGTAATGTCCCCATATGAAAACTAAGGATCTCAGGAGGTTAAAGACTCTTCTGCCTCTGCTTTTTCCACCGCAGAAGTGAATCTTTCGAACCTTTGGCGGAAGATGATGCTGTGCTTTAGACATCTCGGGATTTAGACACTGGCAAAACACAGTTTTTCTTCAAGCACAAGAAAGGAGAATAACCAAAAAGTGAAAACTAACTGAATTATGCAAGGTAGACTGTTCAAAGAAAACAAACACACAGTATACGACAAATACTACCATTAATACTTCATCCTTTGGTAGATGCTTGATTTAAAATGCATTACAGTAGTTTTCTTGAAATGGTTTATCACATGGAAGAAAACAATACTGTAATTAGCAGTGTTTTTGTCAGAGAAGTACCTCAGGGTTTCATTTTTAAATGGTCTTCCTTGCAAAGCAAATTTACGGGCACTGGTGCTGATATTACGCTCTATGTATATTAATGATATGTGAGATATTGTTTTCAGAATTTTAGCAGGAGAAAAAAATCCTGTACCGTTCGCGGCATGTGTTGGCTTCACAGACATGAGGTTTTTTTTTTCTATAACATGGTACATTGTTTGATTTGTTCTAATGTTAATATTAATATCTAAAATTTGAATACTGTCATCAAAACATGTAAAAGTAAAAGATTTAGATTGCTCTGCATTAATTGTTTTCCTCAGGTTAACACAACTAGATCTTAATAACAAGTAGCTTAAATCCAAGAAGGCTTCAGTATTTTATTGTTACCTGTCACAACATCATTCAGTCATGATTCAATTTAGGTTGTCATTAACAACCAGTGCCTTAATGTGGCTACACATCCATCATTCATACATAACTGCGTCCGCCTTCCCTATCACCCTTCATCTGCAAAAAAGACAGCTGGAGAACAACAAGCAAGATGCAGCCAATATATATTTTCGTGGGAGACTGGGCAGGGTGTTCTGCGTAGCTGCTATGGCAACCAGTAGGTCAGGAGTTGCTATGACACCAGAACGTTATCAGACGGAGGTCAAAGGATGATTTATTGTTATGGTAAGGGACTCGGCCTATTTAGGGAACTGTGCTCAAGGGCACCATTACCGAGAGGGTTGAGGTACTGAAAGAAACCTCCACAAATGCAAATTTCATGGTGAGTGTAGTTATCTGCTAATAGCCAACATATCTTTATTTTCTTGGGGAAGGTAAGCTGAGAATAAATGTTAATTATCAGCAGTACCAATCACACAATTGCACACTGGATTGGGAAAATACCCCTTACACTACAACTATAAGAAGCACTTAATGGCTGTTTATAAACAGAAACAACTCCCAACTATTCCAAAAATGATCATGTCAATAAATGCTGGGTTAAAATCAGCATGTCAAACAAATAGCAACATGATTTTTGCAGTCCCCAAATTTCATTTTCATTTTCTGAAGATTTGCATGTTGCATCTTGCAGCGACTTTTAATAAACCTGTGCTTTTCCTGCTCTTACATGTCAAAATGTCGGCTGTGTAATCGTAATCTGGTAATGATCAAAATCATTTTACAATGCTGTTTAAATACCAGTACTCCCAGCGTTCGCTGAAGACTCTTTGCTGTAAAAAAAAAACAAAACAAAAACACCACTGGAATTTAAATATTTTTTTCATGATCTAACATCGAGGTTCTGCAAGCTGTTTCCTGGGAATCACTGTAGTCATGTGAAACTAATGCTAATGCAGTGGTTTACTGGTGATACCATTACTACATTGTTCAGTCGTCCAAACTCTTCTTGCTCTTTTTAGTGTGAAATTGTAAAACTCAGAGTGAAGCTTGTTTTGACAATGATTTTTGTTTTGGCCAAATTGAAAATGAACATCCTTCTGCTTCCCGCTGGAGCCATTAGGGGGGCAGGCCTTATGAACTGACTCTGACTAGAGTCATTTTTCATCTGAGTGGCAGAGGTGGGATCATTAGCATGGTAGAGTGGGTCATTTCAAACTCATCTGAAAACTGTTTGCGTGCAGTGAAACTTTTTCTCTGTTGAAAAGAGCAATGGTGTTCTTATTCTTAAAACTTTCACAAGTGCTCCTGGCCTGCACACTTTTTGTAAAAAAAATAAGGGACAGCATGACTATGACGTGAGGTCAATTTGAAATAATTCTTCTGTCTTTGTCTTTATGCAGACACTCAGCAAAGGTGGTAAAGGCAGCTTCTCAAGTCCTCAGCAGTATGTGGCAGTACAGAGACCTGCGCTCTCTCTACAAGAAGGTAGGTGTCATTGAAACTAAGTACAGGTGCTTTTGTGGTGTGTTCATGATTTACAGAAAAGTAAAATATACTTTAGATAACCTTATATTCTGTTATCATAGAAGAACAGCAAGTACAGACAAAATAATGTATTTGTGGAGTTAGCTGATTTGACATTGTTCAAGCATTCTGTTAATATTTATTTAAAATATTGCAGTGGATGCAATAGGATGCACAAAAAAATGAAATGTGCAAATGTTCACAGTGTTAAGTGTAAGAAACCGTGCAGAGTGCAAGGATAAAAGTGTGTTATTGTAGGTGTGCAGGTGTGTATGAGGGAGGAGGGGGACCAGGTGCAGAAAGAAAAAAGTTATTTAGGCAGAGGAGAAACATTTGCATCCATGGTGGGGTGGATCAGCCCAGATCTTTCCCATCTGCCTTGCGGTCCTGAAAGTGTGCAGGTCCCGAAGCGATGACAGATTCCACCTAATTACCTTCTAAGCAGAACGATGCACTGGAGTCCGCCTTTGTCCTTGGTATTGGCAATGTTATGGTGCCAAAGGAGGTGAAAAATGGTCTTGGACTTATTCTGTAGACATTTTTTTTCCCAGCAGGTTAAACTTCTTCTGTTGTTGTATGAATTAAATCTGAGAGCGTGACAGGGAGCTTTGGGACAACTGTGGATTCATACAGAATGATGGGGACAGTTGGGAGGTTCTTGAAATCTGCAACTATGTCCATGATTAGCACTGAGCTCTACACCAGGTCATCTTCAAACTTCACGAGCTTTAGCATTCAGGAGCAGACTGGTGACCCTGCAGTTGTAAAGGTGCAGCTGTGTAGAGCAGAGGGTAGTGATGCATTATCTGCATCCCATTAATCATCTCCCAGCTAGCCAAACAAGGAAACTAGTTATTTTCAATTTAGTCAGTTACATGTGAGTTATGTGAAACAATTTTGTAGCATTACACTGAAGCAGGCATGCTTTAAATAAATACAAATGGACCCCAGAATTGGCACAGTGACAACTTATTCTGCTAATTTGTGCCTGACAACAATAAAGAGAATCATTATTATTATCATCATTAATCTTTATTATTTTTCTCATTGGTGCTGTAATATTTCAGTCACCTTCAACCCATCTGCTTTTAATCAAAATGGTAATGTTTAGATTCCCACCCACACATTAATTCTGGTGCTCACATCACTAGTAGAGAGGAAAGAACGCCGCCTTAGGAGGAACCTGTGATGATCTGTGTTTTCCCAGCTTCATGTGCTCTGTGGTGTCAGGCACACCCAGCAGGGACAGCTTGTTATGCAGTGGAGCAGGATGATGGTTAATTAAAAATTGAGCTGAACTCCACGGACAGGACCCTGGCGTGGATTCACCGGGTGAAGGTGCTGAACAATGAAGTGTAGGGTCACATTGTATTTTAATGGGTTGGTAGTCATCATGTCCTGTGGTGTTTGTTTGTTTGTTTGTTTGTTTGTTTGTTTGTTTGTTTGTTGTTTGTTTGTTTGTTTGTGAGGGTGGAAACAATTGTGCAGGTCTTGAAACAGGTTGACACATGGATTGTCTCTAGTAAGGTCTAAAGACGTCTTTAAGTTGGATGGAGACATGGAGTCGGGCCCAGCTGCTTTGTGGGGGTTTGTCTCTTGAAGAGTCTGTTAACATCTCTCTCCAGGAAAAGTTGTCTCTTTCTCTCCAGGAAAGAGACAACCATGTGTTAGGGGAGGAGAGGACTGCTGTGTGGTAGGCAGCTGTGGAGAGGCCCATGACCTGTTTTAGTGGGAAAGGTAGAGCTGGTGGGCTAGCGCTGATGGATGGTTTAGAGGGGAACGTGTCAGGCACGTCCCATCATTCAGGTCTTCGGCTGGGTGCAAGCTGTTAGTGGAATGTGAGGCTTTAAGCTTGCAGCTTGTGATCTGTCTCAATTCTTTTCAGACAGAAGCAGAGTTTTGCCGATAATAGCCATTTAACTTCTTGCACAGCTGCACCATCTCAGCTCATCTTGAACACTTGTCTTGCAGACATAGAGTGTCGCTCTCCTGTTCTAAGCTCAGCCTGGTCCTGTATCCAACCATATATTGCCAATGCTCCCCATAAGTGACCACTGTCAGTCAGCTGTTTGTTTAGTTAATAATTGCAAAAGATTTATTCGTAACAGGGAACAAATTTTAATAAACCCAAACCCTTGATCACTACAGTGAGGAGATCTAGTGGTGTGTGTGTGTGTGTGTGTTATGCTTTGGGAAATAGTCTTTTCCAGGATGGTAATACTTATCCTTATCCAGGGAGTTTTGGGCCAACATGTTAATGAACATTCCCACTGAACTGACACACAAAAAGTCATTGTGGCTATTTACTTTTTTGTCGATACCGAGGACTGTTAATGTCCTAATGCTGTGAGTTATGTACGTCCAAATTGCTCATAGTTTTAAATTATGAATGTCGGGATCGTTATCCAAAAACCATATATTGAAATTTTTTTCTCTAATACACTCCCAGAGACTTAAGAAATCAATTCTACGTGACTTCATATTGTTTTGTTTTTCTCTTTAGTTTAATATTCAGTCTAAGTGGAGGCTATATTAATTGTGTGCTGGTTGTATTCAGAAGCTTGACTCTGTCAGTGCACCAATGTGACTTACAGATAATGGACTTGCACATGGATAAGATTAAAGGTATTTTGTAGGTAATTGAGCAAAGTAGCTCTCCTTCTAAACAGACTCAAGGTTGCCATATTTATTCAACAATGTTTGTCTTGGTCTTTGCACTTTTGTCTTTAGGAGTGTGACGCTGTAGGTGTCTCTTTATAAATGTAAAGATTTTACGTGTGCATGTATTTGTGTAGCCAAGTGCTGAAGTGTGTGGATCCCTCGGGAAATGTTTTTGCAGATGAAGTTGGCTCATGATTAGTCAGCTTTTTTGTGGGTTGTTCATATCTGCGTGCGTTAGTCTGTGTGAGTTCCCTTTCAGGTAGATACGTCCCAAAAAATAATAGGATTTTCAGCTGGGCGACACAACTGAGCAACAGCATTTATACAGAAGAAAAGGATATTTTCTGTTAGACTCTAGTCTAGTGTGTTTTTGTTTGTGTTCTTTGAACCTACACACTCACACACAAACACACACAACATCAATGTCATTTAGATCATCTTGCGGACTGAATGGTGTTAATGCCGTTAGTGCAGCAGTTAATTTGCAGCTCAAATGAAGAAAAAGGAAAATTTGATTATTGTTGTGTTTTTGTAACTCTTGAAGACACAGAGTTTTGTTTGCGACAAATGCGATTAAAACCCACTATCTCCTTCTCAAGCTTTTTTTGTTTGAAATGAAAAAGTCCAGCACACTCTTGAAACTTGATTAAAAGTAATAACAGATGTTCTGTTCCTTTCACTTGTCAGTAATGAGTGTTGTTGAGTGAATATCTGCCACCAAGGTTATCTGCCATTGAGCACAATAAAGCTTTAGAGGCGTAATCAGCGAGTTTCAGTTCACTGTGAGAAATTTTAAGTTACTCATTCCGCGGAGGTGTCCTTGGCTTTGAATGTGTCTTTTTCATCTTTTGCAAAAAGAAAAGAATGAAGCAGATGATGTATTTCAGCTGCTGAAAGCAATTGTATGTTTTCTTCCATTTCATAGGTAAATACTTACCTATGTTTACATGGTAAAGGCTTTTTTGGGGGTTGGCAGGGTTATTAAAGTGCGGCACATCATTTGCATCAGTAGGAGTTAGATTTTATATAGTTCTGGGTTCAGTGTTTACACATTAACCACATATATGTTTTACTAAAGTATGAATATATATGATAAAAATTATTTTACCGGTGGATTAGAAACTGTTAAAAATCTCACCGAATGTTAAGGTACCAGAATGTGTAAAAGTCCTGAAACATGCAAACATACATGAATCAGAATCAGAATACTTTATTGATCCCTGGGGGAAATTATTTTTCATTACAGTGCTCCATTATAAACAAACATTAACAAAGACAGACAATACACTAACTAAGAATAGCACAATATATACATGCAATTATATACATAAAAGTCACTTATTAATAAATAGCTGAAAAAGGAAGAACATGTGCAAGAAGGGTGTAGCTGTTGCAGTAAACAGTGTGTTAAGTGGAGGAGTTGTACAGGGAGATGGCCACAGGCAGGAATGATTTCCTGTGTCACTGAACGTGCTCCTGTGACTGACCAGCGTGTCATGGAGTGGGTGGGAGGTGTTATCCAACATTGTCTTTATCTTGGACAACATCTGCCTCTCCGACACCACCTTAATGCTGGGCTTACACTGTGCGATTTTTGGCCCATTTTGAGCCGATTTTTGAGTCGTGCGACCGTTTTGGCGATCGGCCCAATTTTGGCCTTCATCGTGCGTCGTGCATCGTGTAGTATACGTGGGGTAACGAGAAGTGATTAACACCTCACGACCAGCTCCCGGTCAGCAATCGCTGCGCACGCGCAAACATATAAATGTCGGCGAAAAAGACGGAGTAGCACGGCAGTGCAGCGTGTGATCTGGACACAAGCGATGGAGGCACTTGTAGAACTTTGGAAAGCTCATCCGAGCCTTTTCCATGTGGCCTCACAAAATTATCACGACCGCAACAACCGTGAAAATATTTGGATTTACATTGCTGCTCAATCACAGCTGCCTGATCAATGTTTTTCATTAGCAATTTAGCAAAGTTGATGGTGGTGGTGTGCGTGTCTGTGTGAGTGAAAGACAGAGAGGGAGAGCGAGCGACAGAATTTCTGTTATAACCTTCATTTTATGGACGCACAGTTTGAGCACTCAGGTCGCATCAGAGCATCGGGCCTAGTGTGAGACCCTGTATCGTGACCTACAAACTTCTAACCCCTGCGAGTCAATCGTGCAGTTTGAGCAGGAGCTGAATCGCGACTGAAAAAATTGCACAGTGTCTGCCCAGCATTAGGGAGTCCAGCTCCATCCCCACAACATTACTGGCCTTACGGATCAGTTTATCGAGTCTGTTGGCGTCTGCGA